CATTTGCATAGGCGAAAGAAATTCGCATACATGTTAATAACCTTGTATGCTGTCGAAATGCCTTGATAAGCTCATATCAGTGATTGCCAGCCAATTATTTGAAACTGCAAAGCGGATTGTGAATGATATACTCAAAAAATTACGGAGAAATTTCTACAAATTCACTTAAATTTCTACAAGTTCACTGGGAAAGTGGAACGGAAACTCGATGACAGACAAGAATGTGGAACGACTTGTCAAGGGACGACTTTCGTACTCATTCCGTGATGAAAATTGTCCGTACAAAAACTTCTACTCTCACCCCGTTATCTTCACTTCAAAAGCATCGCAAATTAATGTCCTAATTCTGAATTTTCTTTTTTAACCAAACAAATGATATTTGATAATGATAAGTAAATATATCTTGATAAGACTAATAAATGACCAGCGCACGGGCTGCCCGTGCGAAGATGCGTTTTTTGCACAGTTCCCCGCAGTTTTTGTCGCTATTTCTGACAAATGCTTTTGCCTAAGAGAATTGAGACCGGCCACCAGGGCTGTCTGAAATATCCCTTTAAAATTTCAGCTTTTTAGCTTTCCTGATTTCAGAGTTAGCAACTTACCCGAAAAAAAACATTAGCGGGCCCGCACGCGAATACAACGTGGGGAAGAAGGCTCATTTTAGAGATGGGGTCACGTACACGCATGTAGATAAATTTCTTAAAGTTTCAGCCCTGTAGCCTTGGCAGATCTCGAGATGAAAAATCGGTACAAACGAAGACACGTACACACAGACAACACCTTGTAAATATGCGTTTTCTACGTTGCATAGATGCAAAAAACGCACAAAAACTAAAGATATTTTGTGAGAATAAAGACGTACTCTTCTCGGCAGTTGAATCTAACAGAACTTTTCCACGCGATCGATAGGCCTGAACTGAAAATTTCACTAATTAGAACGTCTGTACAAAAATTCGGCTCTACCTATCCCACAAAAAAACAATCACTGAAATAAGAGATGATCCAAGATAAAGCTTACTTTGTCCATACCAACCAGCGCCAGCTTCAAAAATTTTGCCTGTTTCTTGGCAGCTTTCATGGCTCAGGTATACAACAAGTGGCACGACATGTTCTGGCTTCAGACTCTGCAACTCTTCTTCGGGCAACAAATCCGAGGTCAGCCGGGACGATGCAGTTGGTATGACCACATTCGACTGGATATTGTACTTACTGCCCTCAATAGCCAATGTATGTGAAAAACCAATAAGTGCACTTTTTGCTGAAATTACGCTGAAATGAGTGATCACAGAAATGTTTATTTTGTGCAGGCAGGAAAAAAAAACACATTGAGTTCCATGAGTTAAAATTTTCCGGGAGTCAAACAAGCTTCATCTTGTCGCGGAGTTTTGTGAACCAAAATTCCTCATGTCTCCTCCCTTCCCCCCCCCCTTGCTCTCCAAAGCATACTTTTTCAAAAAAACTAAAACAGTCGGGAAGAGGAGGGAGGGGAGAAGACTGAGTGATAAGATTTTGCCGAATGCTTGCACTCAAAGCAGTAGGAATCGTTCTGTGGTTCACTAAGCAGTTAAAAAAAAA